GGGGAGAAAGGGGTGTGGGAGGTGCGGGAAGAGACTGGACAAAAATTGCACACCTTTGGATGAGGAGAAGGGGGGGTCGTAAGGGCAGAGGGTGGGGTGGGAACTGGGTGGAGGGGAGCTATGGGGGGAAAGGGGAGGAACAACGGTAATAATCTGAACAATAAAGATTTAATTAAAAAATAAATAAATAAATAAGAAAAAAACAAACCAGAATAAATAAATAAATAAATAAATAAGTAGCCCAAAAGAAAGTTCAAAAGGGTGAAGATAATGTGTTACTCCAAAGCCAGAGCGCAGGAAGTCTGCACAAAGAGTCATTGCTATCAACGATAACTGGCTCCCCAGCTACCCCCACATCCTCCTTTGGGGTTTAGTCTTTGATAGCACTGAAAGGTCAGACTGTTACGGTTCTGGAAGTTAAACAGAGAGAAAGAACTGTTTTCACCAAAGGCACCCTGTAGGTCATTTCTCTTTTACAAATCAATGCTCCAGAAAGCAAGTCACTAGGTTGTGTCTCGACTAGATCATCATGAAGAAAAAATTGATTCTTCTTCATGAATAGAACTTTAGCATGCCCCTACTGGAAGTGCACTCAGAAGAGAAGGGAAGAAGGCTTTGAAAAAATAACCACTCAAGGCCCTTAATAAAGCAAAGCTCTGGGAATAGAAATGGATGGCTTCCCCTGCCCACAATATCTTATAACATCTGCAAAGCACTTCATTGATACCAACAGTTGTGTCCTTGCAAGAAAGCACAAATCACTTTAATAATTCTTCAATTTCCTTCAGGGTTAAAATCTTACAAATCTCAAAATGAGCAGCTTTCTCTAAGGGCCTTTGATGTGCAAGGAACTGTTAGGTATTCTTTACTCACCAAGGCATTCTGCTCAGGTTTGGTTCGGTCCTGTCTTCTCTGCTACTTGCATCTCTACATCTCTGCCAGGAATCTTCCTCCAATTACAGAGCATCTAGGAGAGGGAAACCGACCTTCTCCGTCCTCTCCTTCCTGTTCTGCAAGAGGAGACAGTACTCTGATTGCAGGTATAGGGCACGTGTACAGTGAGTAGGGTAGCTCCCCTCCTCTCCCCAGCCTTCTTCTCCACCCTTCCCCTCCCCTCTCTCCCCTTCTGCCCTTTGCCCTTTCCTAGCCTTTCTTCTGTGTTTTTTTTTTCCTTCTAGGTGGTCTCAGGAGGGCATTTCTCCCTCATGCAATGAAATTCAACCATTTGTTTCTCCTCTGTTCTTATAATATTCTTAAAAAAATTTTTTCTTTTACTTTTCAATTATAGTTAACATACAGTATTATATTAGTTTTAGGTGCACAACATTTATCAAACTTAAGGCTTATCACCCTGATAAGTCTAGTACCCATTTGACACCATACACTATTACTATGTTCTCTATGCTGTATTTGCATCCCGTGACTGTTTTTATTGCTGGTAATTTCTATGCCTTAATCCCATCACCTTTTTCTACGGCCCCAAATCCCCTCCCATCAGATAAGCATCAATTTGTTCTCTGTATCTATGAGTTTATTTCTGTCTTGTTTGTTTATTTTGTTTTCTTTTAGATTCCACATTAAATGAAAGTATACAGTATTTGTCTTTCTTTAGGTCTGACTTATTTTCCTTAGCATAATACGCTGTAGATCCATGCATGTTGTTGCAAATGGCAAGATTTCATTCTTTTGTTATGGCTAAGTGATATTCCAGTCATATAAGTACCACATCTTCTTTATCCATTCATCTGTGGATGGGCACTTGGGTTGTTGCTTCTATATTTTGGCTATTGTAAATAATATAAGAACAGAACAGATGTTTTTTCCCCCAGCATCTGTTGAGATGTTCATGCGATTTTTGACCTTTATTCTATTGATATAGTGTATTGTATTAATTGATTTTTGGCTATAAAACCAACCTTGCCTTCCTGGGATAATTCCCACTTGGTCATTCTAGATAGTCTCCCTCTTCCCCCACATTTTAAAAACTGTTTTAAAATACACTTAACATAAAATTTACCACCTTAAACATTTTGAAGTATACAGTTCAGCAGTGTTAAATACATTCATAATGTTGTGCAACACCACCATCCATCTTCATAACTCTTTTCATATTATAATATTGAAAGTTATACTCATTAAACAATAAAATCCCATTTCTCCCTTCCCCCACCCCCTGGAAACCACCATTCTGTCTCTATGATGTTGACTACTCTAGAGACTTCATATTAGTGGAATCATATTGTATTTGCCATTTTGTTACTGGTTTATTTCACTTAGCATAATAGCCTCAGGTTCCATGTTGTAGCATATAGCATATGTCAGAATTTCCTTACTTTTAAAGGCTGAATAACATTCCATCGTATGTATATACCACATTTTGCTTATCCATTCCTCTGTCAATGGATATTTGGGTCGCTTCCATATTTTAACTATTGTGAAAATGCTGTGAATATAGGCAAACAAATATTTCTTCAAGACCTTGCTTTCAATTATTTTGGATATATATCTAGAAGAGAATTTGCTGCGTCATATGGTAATTCTATTTTATTTTTTTTAGAACTACCTTACTGTTTCCTCAGCTTCTATACCATTTTACATTCTCACCACCAAGTCGCAAGAGTTCTAATTTCTCTACATTCTTGCCACACTTGTTTTCTGTTTTTAGGGTTTGGTTTTTTTTTTTACAGCAACCATCCTACTAGGTATGAGATAGTCTAATTGTTGTTTGATTTGCAGCCCTCTACTGGTTAGGAATGTTGAGCATCTTTTCTTGTCCTTATTAGTCATTTGCATATCTTTGGAGAAATGTCTATTCAAGTCCTTTGCTCATTTTGAATTGGTTTGCTTGTGTTTTTTGTTGAGTTTTAGGAGTTCTTATTATATATTCTGGATATTAATCCTTTACCAAACATATGATTTGAAAATATTTTCTCCCATTCTGTGTGTTGCCTTTTTAGTCTGTGGATAGTGTCTTGATATACAAAAATGTTTAATTTTCATGAAGTTTAATGTTTATTTTTCCTTTTGTTACCTATGCCTTTGGTGTCATATCCAAGAAAGCATTGCCAAATTCAGTGTTATGAAGTTTTTGTCCCATGTTTTTCCCCGTAAGAGTGTATAGTCATATTTATATGTTGCATTTTTCAAGTTCTAGCATACATTCTTTGCATCTGCATTCATAAAGCAATATTATTCTGTACTTTTCTTGTGATGTCTGGTTTTGGTATAAAAATCATACTAACCTCAAAGAATGAGTTGGGAAGTCTTCCTTCCTCTCCTATTTTTTGGAAGAGTTTGTGAAGAATTTCTATTAATTCTTTATATTGTGGTAAAATTAAACAGTGAAGTCATATTGGACCTGGGCTTTGAACCAACTTCCTTTTAAGTAACCAAAAACGAGAGTGCCTGGGTAAGATGAGACATAATTCTGGCTTAGAATTAGACCATGATCAGAAAATTCGAAGTATCCCACTCCTCTTTCTTTCACAAATTAAAACATTTAGTGAGGGAAGAGATAAACCTTTGTGACTTTATTTCCTCATCCAACAAGTTCAAAGTATTTAGAAAATGGTGATTATAGACCAAGCCTCAGCCTGGAGTTCACAGATCCAAAACAGCAATAACTTTCAATGTACAGACAGACACTTCCCAGATGCATGATGTCAGTCACAAGAGACAGCAGAGGAAAAAGGGCCAGGGAAGATTTAGTGAAATCATTCCATCATAAACACAATCTACATTACATTCCTTATTTTGGGGACCAGTAGTGAGACAAATACTTTAACACAATATACTATTCCTGGGAACTGGAACTCAGAGTATGTTGCCTGGGTTACTCATGGAAAACCAGCAAGAGAACTAAGAATTAGTACCTTTGTCACCTAATTCCTGGTTTAGTGGTTTATTTTGATCAGTATCTTTGAGTATTCTGTGCTTGGAATGCACAAGGGAGATGGTTCTCAGAGCCTCTCCATAAAGTTTTCATTTGGTCAGGAGTAATCTATCAGTACCTTTATCTCCAATTCACTTCCAATTTAGTCTTCATATTGCACTTATTTTTAATCAGAAACCAAATTCTGGGTATAAGTTCATAAAATACTGTTAGCAGTTAAGAAAAGGTTTATTGCTATTAGGGGACAATTTCCAGAATGGTAGGTAAGGAGCTCCAAAGACCCACGCTTCAACAAAGTAACTATACCAGTGAAAATTACTTTTAAGACAACCATTTGAAGTTCTTGTCCCACAAGGGAGATAAAAACCAAGAAGACCAAAGGCTACTTCCTGACACTCAGTGACCTGCTTAGAAAGCAGAGTTATCACTCCAAGAGAAGTGGTTGTTTTCCCTGTCCCCAGTTTGAGAGCAGAATCTCAGAGATATTGCCCAGGGGAAGAGGCAGGTAATAAGAACAGAGTGTTCTGAAGCTCTCACCACAAGAGAACAGATTTTATTTGGAACAGAGTTGGGGGAAGTCAAGCTGAAGAGAGCTCTGGAAAACAATGGATATTTTGGCGACAAGCAGTTAAGAGGAAGCTGGTTGCAACACGCTAGGCTAGACTGTAGGCTATCTAGTGTACCAGAGAGAACCAGAATAAAGGACATCTAAGAAGAGCCCTCCCTGGGTCAGAATAAATCTCAAAGTCTGGCCTCAAAAACTACCTCTGCATCAGATTGTGGAGCAATTTATGCTCCAGAGCAGGGGTCCTCAAACTTTTTAAACAGGGGGCCAGTTCACTGTCCCTCAGACCGTTGGAGGGCCGGACTATAGTTTTAAAAAAAAACTATGAACAAATTCCTATGCACACTGCACATATCTTATTTTGAAGTAAAAAAACAAAACGGGAACAAATACAATATTTGTATTTGCATGTGG